AGGCAGGGCAGTTATCCTTTAAGTGAGTAAAGTGACTCTTCACTGAAGGACTGATTTTAATAACCCAGTGCGGGACCCCCTTTAAGGTACAGAATGATTCTGGCACATCAGTTAAGTGTTACACAAAACAGACCCGAGTATTCAAAATCAAAGGCGTTTTTCATTCATGTGAAAAAGGGATCAGTGAGCTGCATGAAAACTGGGGTGCATAAAAGTCCCCGGGGCTTCGGTCCACAGCAGGAAAAGCTCAGAGCAGATTGGGCCCAGGGGGAGTCAGCCTCGGCCGCCCGTAACTCAAGAGATAGAAGGCGGTGATCTCCGTGCGCTGCCTCTGTTTCATGTGGGGGCTCCTGCCTCTGATCTTTCCGCCGTTGCCTAATTGCCGATGACTGTTTCTGTGGACATGAGGGCCTGCGAAATGTGTAAGGCCTGCGTTTTTCCAGGGGAGACTTTTTTCTTTGCACATAAGCCAAAGATTCCTTCATATACAAATTCTTTCTTAGGCAGGTCATCAGATTCTTACTTGGGGGACATGAATGCTGAGATCAATGCACACAGCTGAATATGCAGAAAATATAAGCTCTGGTAACTCAAGGGAGCGGGGATGCTGGAGAGGAAGGCCAACATGGCCACTGGCATGTCTTGAATTTCTTTCGCATGTGAAGTTTGCACTACACACCCAGTATTAGGTAAATACATAAAGTTGTTTGTTTTCCAAGAGTGTAAATGGCTTCACTTTCGGTCAACTACACCCTTTGACCCTGTCCCCACTGTAGGCAAAGGCACACATCTGGGAGTGTTTGGGTAGAAGTGGGGGGGCATATTTCAATTTACGACTCCAGCCGGATCACACCATAGCTCCACTCAGGTCCAAATCAGTTGAGCTGGGTTTAAGCAAGAGAAATGCCATGACGCAGGCAGGCTCTAAGTGGATGCCACTTCCAAGGAGTCATACCCATAGGATCGATGTTTAGTGAACACTCGATATGGGGGGCGGGGTGGGGGGTCCCAGTAATGCATTCGATCAGCCCTAGGAGTAGATACTACTTTCACCTTAGTTTCAAGGCCGAGGAAACAGGCCCAGGATCACACAGCTTTTGAAGTTTTTGGAGCCAAGGTCCCCAGGCATCTGAGTCTGGAGTTCCTGCTCTTGATTGACCAGGGCATGCTCACACCTCACAGCCGATGGGGTAAGGCTGCCCAAGCTTGGTGTTCGAGAGTGGAAGATCAAGTTCAGGTGAGCAGGGTCACCTGCCATCATTAATTAGGGAGTTGCCAAGGGGTTCCAGACGCGGAATAGAAGCACATGTATCTGTGTTCGTCATCCCTGGTTTTATTTCAAAGAAACTGTCAGGATGATGTCTACCTCCATCTCTACAAATGTCATCCTAGGTTTTTGTAACATCTGACACTGAGTAAGGTAATGAGAGTAATGTTCCTTGCAGGAACATTCTCTTTCATTTTGTGGACCAACGTTTATATATTATTATCTCCAGCCACCAGGCTTTCGACCTACATGGGACCTGCAAGTCAGATTAAAGACGGGGACTTTTCAGTAGCTCAGAAAGTCAGTTGTTACCTCTGCTGTCATCTGGAAGTGCCAGAAGTATTCCAGCTTGTGGAAGAGGGTTCCCCTAGGATCCTGAACCCCTTAATCACAAAGGGCCCATCAAAGGGAAGGCAGAGTTGCTGGCTTTGGGGCAGACTGGGAACCAAGCAGCCCCTGCCGCAGGTGGGGTCGGGGGTTGGGGAGGCCACACAATGCTGAGATTTGATTGGGTGAAAGATGGAAATCAGTATGTGTCCTTGATAAAAACAAACAAACGCCAGGCTAGATCTAAACCATCAAGGTGTGGGTGAAAGTGAATAAAAACAGTGTAATCATCCCTGCTTTTTGCTATCGGTACCATTATCACCACGTGTATAAAAGTACATTGTGCAATAGGAACAAAGCTTATTTGACTTAAGGGCCAACAGGCTTGGTACCGGTTTTATCTGATGTCATTTACGACTGGTACACAGAGAAAACAAGGGCTTTGTGGTCCATGTTAACACATTAGTAACACGCTCAGTTATCCAAAAACACATCGGCTCGGCTTACTGAGGATAAACCCACAGGACTGTGATTTTAAAAACTCTCATTTGCTTTGTAATTCAAACCACTTTCATACCTACTATTTAGCTCTGAGTTTCTCCAGTGAGGGCTTTTACCCTGCGGAGGGTGTTTCTGGAGGCGGTGATTGTCACAATTAGGGGTATGTAACTGGTACTTGTGGCCAGGGGTGCCGCTCAACATTCTGCAGTGCACGGGACAGCCCCTCCCCAACAGGAACTACCTGGCCCCAGAGGTTGATAGGCTGAGGTTAAGACACTGGTCTAGTCTGGCGCTTACATACATAATCAGAGGCAAGTTGACATGACCAAGGGTTTGAGTGTTTACCAAGGGCAGGCACTATGCTAAGTGCTAAGTCACTGTTCACCTCAACTCACTCATTACTTGTCACAGCAAGCCTGTGAGCTAGGTCCTGTTCTTGCCGTAGGGTAAGCCTGCGTGGGATGAACGAGGCAGGTAGGGAGGTCATTCCCTACAGAACAGATGAGAAGACTGAGATTGGTGTTAGAAGACCTGGGCCTTAGCCCTGCCTGGGGTCACCTACAGAGGACAGACTGCTGTGGCCCCCCTCTGTCGATAAGACTGTAGTCCAACTCCCTTCTAGGCCTCAGCTCCAGCAGCCCCTCAGGGGCCCAGTCCCCACCCCTGCAGGCTCAGCTTCTGGGAAGAGTCAAAAACTCTCACAGCCCAAGCAACCCGAGAGCCTGAGGAAGCTGCGCTGGGAATGCTGAGTGTGGGAGCCCCCTGCAAGCACTTGGACAGAGACTGAAGTGACGGGCCTGGAGAGAAACAAACTGGGTTTCTGGAGTCATTTCAGAAAGGCCACTTTCGATGTGGGAGACCCTCATGGGCCTGGCAGGCAGGAGGGGAAAGGTGAAGCAGCTGTGGACAAGGGCAGCCTCAGGGTAGGGAGGGAGAAGGGGCAGAGGGCGGGCGCAGGGCTCCCCCTGCCCCTGCAGGGACGAGTCCTTCTGCCAAAGTCCTCGGCTCAGGCTCGCTCAGGCACTTCGTTAAGCTGGGAAAGTGGGCTAGGAGCAGGGAGCAGGGCTAACACTCAGGGGGTGGGCTGTCTACAAGAACTGCTGCTTAAGGGGAAATCACATCAGGAAGAAAAATGGGGTGCTAGTTCCCAACAGGTGGGCTCCCGGGGAACCCCTAAATACACAAGATGACTCTAAGAGAGGCTGGGATTCAAATCTCATCATGTAGCTGACAACAGTGGATTTCGACTTTCAGAGAGCACTGGAATCACCTAGAGGGTTAATACAGATTCCGGGGTTCTGCCCAGATTTCCGACAAGTTCCCGGGTGATGCTGATGTGGCCAGTGCAGAGGCCACGTCGACGGTGGTCTCTGAGTGCCCATCAGCTCTCCATCCCCACTACTAGCCTTAAAAAGAGTTTTATTCCTGTTTATTTAAATTCAGTGCTCGTCAGAGCCACTGATTAAAGTAGAGCAAGTTTACTGAACCCCACTGAGGTGACATAAACAATGTGAATGTAAACTTCACCCCGGCGTTCACTATAGTGTCTGGATCCATCATGCTTTAATTTATTCACACGGCTCCTAGCTTCTCTGAATGTAGATGGTTGGGAGTTAACCAGACTTAAAATTTATTATGCATGCAATGAGAGCTATTACCTGCGAAATGCTTTCACTCCATCGACCAGGTTCTGAGATACCAGACGAAGGAGTGAAAATGTGAGTTTCGGGTTGTTTTGGTATTTTTCTGCCATGACATCCTGATCCTCATAAATCTGATTTGCTAAAGCCAATCTGCTAATTGCTTCGGGAACCGGTGTCTGAAATCCAAATTGGTAGCTTGGCTTTTGTAACAAACAGTATACACTTCTGGGTTGCCACCAATTTTGCGCCCCTCATTTAAAAATGCCTCTTGAAAGCTTGACGCTGATTTCCCACCAACCCTGACCCTGTGGGGCCGAAGTAGTAAAAACCCAACTTTTGGTTAGCAAATGAGATAAACTGTTTTCAAGAAACATATGGAGTAAATACGGTCAGAAAAGAGGTGCTACTTTTACAGCCACTTTTCTGACCGTCCACTTCACAAAGGAATTATTTACAGGTCTCTCAGAAACTGGCTTCTCTATTACTCAGAGAAGCGGATGGGCCCAGTCACCAGCTCCGGTGTGCTCATTCTCATGTGACTCATTACTACAAATAAAGGTGCTGGCCCAAACGCTCCCAAGCAGCTGAAAACTATCCCATTATGTAGCACCCAATCAAGCCCCCCCACTCCTCACCTTTTAATCCTTTTCTTGGCACTCACCACATGGAAGCGTTTTGAGACCTGGTTCCATGGGCTTCATGAAACTATTCCGGACTCCTGCACAGACAACAGGCCTCACTTTGATGTTCGTGGAGAATGGTCGTTCAGGGAAGTGTGCTTTCTAATCCCACCTCCTTCCTTCCTCTCCATCACCGTGACACCGGGCGGCTTTCAAAAAGAGCTTTTGCAAAGCCCTACGGTTTCTGTACTTGGTCCTAGACTCCAAACTCCACCTTCCAAAGGAAACGTGGGGTTTGCCTTCCCTAACTCTTTCCTCATGACGCCGTGCAGGACAAGGCCGGTCCTGGAAGTGCTGCAAGTAAGTAAGGAGTATGTGGTTGTTAGTGAAAACGACGACACAGCTTTGCAAACGCTCGCTCTGTGCCAGGCTCTGTGCCGAGCCTTGTGGTGACCGCACATCACCTTAAAAGTGGCCCTAGGAGTCAGTACTGTTATTAGCCCTACTTGGAAGATGGGAAAATGAAAAGGGCAAAGACCATAGGTTATAACTGGGTTGACACAGCATTCATGAAGAGACAGTAACACTGGTTTAGAACTGTGTTCTTTTGTTAAACTTTATTAAAGTATAACATCTATAAGAAAAATCCCAAGTGTATAACAGATAGCTTGAGGAATTGGCTTAATGAATCAACGCTTGCGTAAAAACAAACAAACAACAACAAAAAAACACACCTCACCAGCACCCCAGACACCCCCTTTTGTACCACTTATTAGACAACCACTGCATAAGGAACTGTTATCAGGACTCCTTAAATCAGTTTTTGAACTTAAACAGGACTGACATCGTAAGTGTTCTTTTGTGTTTGTTTTAAAAAAATCTATTTTTTATTGCACTTTCATTATTTTACATTCTTGATTTTTTGACAGGAAAGAAATTCTCCCCTCAGGTGTGGTCACCATAATGCTCCCATCCCCAAATCACCCAGAATCCTCCACCACAGCCCACCATGCTTACCCACCCTCTGTTTTTCTCCCCTCCTCCTCTTCCTTCTACTCCCCTTCTGCATGCTTCAGCTCTCTCTCTCTGGTCAGTTTTCTGGGGTTGATTTTACAGTTTGTCTGTATCTGACGTTTTGTTTGGTTTCTGTATATTCCACATTACAAGTGAAAATGTCTGGTATTTATCTCTCTTCTGGCTTATTTCATTTAGGGTATTCCCAACTTTTAAAAAATCCAACACTATAGTTATGACATTATCTACGATACTGTATATAGCAAACTCATTTTCATTGCTGTATAGTACTCCTCGATGGGAAGGTACTACATTACATTGTTAATGGTAGGGATTACTTATAAATTGGAGCTATTACAAATATACTGTTAGAAATTTTTTTGTGCACACCTAATGGTGATGTATGTACAATTTTCTGTGTCTATACACCTAGGAGTGGATTTGCTAGACACATTTGTTCAGCTTTTTCAGCTTTAATAGCTATTACCAGCAGGCCACTCTGTGCTGTTATGAATTGGCAAATGTCTTGAGGGGCATTGTGGACCAAATTGTGTCCCTCCAAAATTCCACACTGAAGCCCCAACTCCCAAGTGACCATTGTTAATGACAATGTCTTTATGAGGGTAATTAATGTTACATAAGGTCTCAGATCCCTCATCCATTTAAGGTGAGGAGATGCCAGCTCTCATTCCTTTTTAGAGTACACCAAGGAAAGGCCGGATGAGGTGATGAGGTGGCCGTCTCTGCTAGAAGCTCAGGCTTCACCAAGAACAACTTGTCAGCACCGTGACCTTGGACTCTGAACCTCCAGCACTGTGAGAAAATACATTCCCAGTGTGGAAGCCACCCAGTCTGGCATTCTACTACAGTGGCAGGAGCAGGAGAAGACACAGGAGAAAATGGTGGGGGGCGGAGGGGGGGTAGGCTCACTTGGGTGAGCTTTCTGGTTAGCATGTCGGCCTTTCCGGCCTGGAATCCTGGCTACTGGGCCCAGGGCCTTGCCACCCCTGCCCTCTGACTCAAAGCGCAAGGTGGGGCCTCTTAGTGGCCCTGGTGTCTCCTTCAAGCCTCCCACCTCTGTGCCACTTCCAACTTGGCAGGGGTCATGAAGGTAAAGGGGCTTTGAGGGTGAGGGTGGCCTGTACATTGTAAGTTACTCTGTCGTTACTGAAGGAAATCTAACTGGTCATTTTTAAAACAAGGAACTCAGAGATCCCCCCAACCCCCACCAAAAAAGAAAACCTAGTAGGACTAACTTATAAATCCTGATCTCTTTATTAAAGTGTATCTCAGTCAGACAGCTATTCAAAATGCTGGTTTTGGAAACATCAACCTGACAGTTTCCCCCCTTAGAGATGTCTCAATTTGGAACCCACACTTTCTAGGTCTTTGTAAATTTGAAAACTAAGAATTTCCTAGACATTCAGGGAGGTGACGCCTTTCAAAATAATCAAAGTTACTTGGAGTGACTTTGAAAAAAAAAAAACAAAACATGTTTAAGAAACAGAGCCATTCAGTGACTAAAACCAAAATCACCATTTTTGGTGACTAAAAAACAGACTCAGGAGTGAAACTCAAACAAATCTCTGAAGTTGGGAGCCTGGACTAAAGGTCCACGTGACTGGCTCCCTCACTGGTGGTGTTGCCAGGACAGTCACTTAGCCACCTGGAGCCTCAGTTTCTAAGCAGAGTAAAGCGAACAGTCCAGCTTGTGATATGCTCCCAGATCTCCAGGTCTGAGTCAGTTTGCCCTGGGTGTTCCCTCAGCACTGACTGCGGGGTGGGCTTCCATGACGGCTGGCACCTCAGCTCCCACAGCAGAGGCCGAGTGCTGCTCTCTTTGTCCCCCGTGTCACCAGGGGCGGGCACTGATGGTTTGTGACAGCCCCCGGGCCAGCACACGGCACACCACGCTCGCAGGCTGCTCTTTCTTTCCAGTGCTCAGGGGCCGCCTGCAACTGCCTCTTCCATGGAGTTGACAAGAGGATTTGTCACACACGTGAAATACTCACATCTCACATTGTCCAAAGTACAGTAAAATGCTCTAGACATCTGACTCGGAACAGTCATCTTTCGGCAGCCTCGATTTTGAGCAGTATGAAGTCAAAGGAAACGGAGGCATAACCAGCCTAACCACTGATCAAGCTGCTCCATGGCTTCGTCCCTGTCAAGCCCTGAGAAAGGAGACACCTAAGAGGCTGTGGCGGGCTACTCTCATGCTGCATTTACGGTGAACCCCTGGGGCTGCCTCACCTGTGTTAGAGCGTCCTATGGTGAAGAGAAAAAACGATGTGGAGTTTGTGTTCTCAAGTTCTCAAATGACTAGCCGGCTCTGAAAATGTCCCTCTTGTGGAGAGTTCTAGGATGTGGCAGTTCAGTAAAAGCTTTGAAAATGTCCTGAGTGTGCTTACCTTGGTTACATGTTTCTCCTTACTTGACACAAGCACTCCATTCTCGGTGGTGGACATTATCTACTGATATTCTGTGGGACACATTCGAGGTGACATATGGGGAATGCAGCTGTAGAGGTTAGCCAAAGCTTTTCAGACTTTCTTTATAAACAATCCTTAACACAAATATTGATCTGGCTCCAGGGCAGAGCAAATAAGAACAATTTACAAGAAGGCAAAGAAGGCGTCAGTTTAAAAGAGAATGGACAGCTAACATCTTGGGAGGAGTGACAGGAACACTGGGAGCACAAAGCACCCATGGAATTACTTCCAGCTTTCGGCAAATATTACCGTGTGGTATGACCATAGCAGTAGGTTCGACATAGTAGCAATAGCGTTCATAAGAAAGACGACATCCTTGGAAAACTTGCTTAAAGTGGGAGGCACATATTTATTATATTTCACCAAGATGGAAACGTAAAGGTTTGGGTGTAATAAAGGCAAGATGCAATTGTTAGGCACAATGACCCCTGCCAGAAGCAGACAAAGCCGCCACAGAATCTATTGGCCGTGCTCTGAATTTCATGAGCTGCTCACATCAGCCGCCTTCACAAAGGCTGAGCCAACCAAGTCAAAGATTCTTCACCTCCGTCAAGTTTCATAAGACTTAAGTTTTTGTAGCCAGAACACATCACGGAGAATTGAACTCCAAACATTCTTGTCAAGGAGGAAGATCTTTGTAATAAGTGAATTTCAAGACATCAAAGTCCATTTTGTGAATCAAATGCAGTGTACGAATGGGAGACTGTATCATTGCCCACATCGCTGGCATTTCCCCCGAGGCCAGGGGTTCAATGATCAAGGTTGTTTAGGCAGTCTTCTAGTATATAAAAAGCCTCTCCATCAAGACAGTTTTCCTTGTGAGAGAATATTCAAAGGAATTACTCACAAGAGCAGAAACAGTCCTGTCCTGCTTCCCAAGGTCTTGGACTTATCGATGGTTCTTAAGTAATCCTCTGTTCCACCCTTACTCGTTGTATTTGGACAGTTTCAACCTGGGGATGATGTTCATAGACTGCAGTTCCTGGAAGAGCAGCTTGCAGGCGTATGGGATGCGGAGGGAAGACACGTGGCATGAGGACTTGCAATAGTGACACCTAGAACCCAAGTCAGCAGGTTAGAGGCCCGTGGCCCAGAACAGAAGGCCTGGGTGGAGGAGTGGACGCTCCTCTACAGGGCCCGTTCTCATTCTATCAAATAAGCTCACTTTCTATTCCTTGCTGTTCCGTCATACTATCAGATGTGTGCATCTGGCCCCACCAAAGAAAAAGAGGCATCCAAGGAAGCAACAGAAAAAATAAAACAAAACCACCCCCGACTTTGGAAAGCATGCAGTTTGAATCAGTTACTACCATACTTCTAGACCTTTCTCCTTAAAATACAAAACATCTGTCTATATACTTGTTCTGAAGGAGCCTCAGAAATCTGAACCATCTGAAAGCAACACACATTGAGACTTTTCATTGTTGAATGCATTTAAACTGATTCAATCTTCATGTAGCTATCTGATCAGCTGCTACTATATATTTTGTCCACTATTCTAGGCAGGATGCTCACAACGATAACATGACTTCTGTCTCTGAGATATTTTAAGTGTTGTGAGAAAGGTAAGATGCCCGTATAGAGAGGTGGTCTCCAATGGAATGCTACTCATTTTAGCTTTATTTCTATCAATGTTGGAAGCTACTGGACCTATAGCGTCTGGTCCCTTGTGCAAAATGAATGAATCTGAGTGTGCGTGTGCACCAAATGCCTGACCGACACAGTCATATTCCAGTTGGGATTTCCTTTTCCTTCAGGAAGAGCAAGTGAACCAAACCTAGGTCTTCATTAATGACTTCAACTGGAGTGGGTCCCTGAGGAGAAGCTGGAGGATCCTGTCATGTTCCAGGCGGAGTTAGGACCTCACCCTACACCTCCCAGGTCTGAGCGGCTCAGACAATGGTTATTTAGGATAAATCCTAAGACTTACTAAGCAGAAAATGAGGCCCTCCCAGTTAACAGGAGAAAATGGGTGCAGGAGAAAGCTGCTGAGGCTTACGGGGCCAGAAGGAGATATCCTAAGAGCAGCCAAGGCCATTCTGGAGGCGAGAAAGGCGATACGCTCCAACATGTAAACATGCGTTTTATTTAAATAATCACAACACTAGCAAATAATGTGCACAAGAAGGTTCACGGCCACATCATGTGTCATGACACAAAGCAGGAGGCTGCTGCGGACACAGCTGTGTGGTGAGGGGGGTCTAGTGGATGCCGTGATGCCTGTGACCAGGACATGCCGTGGAGGGAAAAGGCAACTGCCAAACAATCTGTTAGCAAGGGGGAGGGGGGTGCGGGGGGGGCGCTTAGATGATGTATATGAAGCCCCTAACAGCAGCCATAGCAAAAGAAGTTTGGATGCACATGTATTTGTATTTTTCTGCTATTATTATAATCTCAGAAAGGCTCATGGTTTAAAAAGAGATGGGACAGAACTAGTACCGGCCAACAGAGGGGCCCAAGGGCTGCTGAGATGTTAGCAGGGGCTGTCTCCGCTGGCACGGATTAAGTGACTATGCACAAACCTTTTATTATTTTGGAAGAGACAAGCATTAAGACTGAGAACTTGAACATGGTGGTGAACACAAACAGAATTTCCTTGGGAAAAGAACCCATGTCCGACGTCCCTAGTAGGCTACTGCAGAGGACTGAACAAAACATACGTTGTGGAGTATTGTTGGAGGAGATAAAAGTGTACATATTTATATATATGAAAATTATATCAACACAGTGAATAATTTTTTCCTAAAAGATTACCTAACGACCTCTGTAATACATTATCGTTTAAGAATTATGTTTTTAACGTGCCTGGGTTGAACTAATTTATTCAGGAATTATGTTCATGCTTTAATTAAATTGGAGAAACAGATTTAACTGGAGCAGCTTCTTACTGATTCTCCTGCCTAGCATGTTATCTTGTGACTTCAATCCTAGTTAATGTATTTAAAATGTCCATATGTGCTGATTCATAATCCAGAATGCTCCCTAATCTGTTATTACTAGATTTCCACCACTGAAAATCCTCAATGCATATATATATATTCATATATAAATCTATACACACTCACACACGTGCGCACACACACAATTACCTTGCCCTATGTATGCACAATTTCTAAAGGAAGAAACGTGACCCAAACAACAATAGAATAAATGGATTTTTTAAGGCAAAGGCAGTCAAAGAAGCTGCGGCTTCACACGAGAAGTGACTGTCCAGTAAAATATCCTGTATGAGTTAATTATCTTAATAGGGATCTTCTTTTCTCTGCAGTTTTCCTTCTGGACCTGTCTTTTGTGACTTATGCCCCTGTGTCTTCTGGAGAACAACAGCCTTGCTGTAAACATCCCCATAGCAATGCCTTACTAATGTGCAAATCACCCACAAAAGGCCAGTTTCAAGGTTCTGAACTGCTCTAATTACCCAGCCTCCATTGTGCTGTTCATTAAAAGGAGACTTCCCCTAACAAAAACGCGCCTGCTCCCTGGGCGCTGCCCAGCGCACACCGTCAGGTGACGAGGGGCATCATTCTGCCCCTCGGCTGCAAGCAGACGCAGGCCGGCGGCTCGACCGTGAGGCTGGATGGGGATTTTTTCCTGTTGGTAACAGGGTGAAAGCAGGCCACTCGAGGCGGAGCCAGCGGGCCCAGGTCTGCTTAATTACAGCAGAGACTCTCAGACCGCAGAGTCCGACTCAGCCTCTTTCAAAGGTTTTCGGATACAATACATACTGGAAACCTGGGCTTCAAGTTGAGGCACTGCCCTCGGAGGTCTCTAAATGAGACGAAATGAAGCAGGAAAGCTATGAATTTGAAAGAATAATGATGAGCTCAATTACTGCCTCCTCTAATGTCCCTGAGTTTGCAACAAGCAGAGGGAAGGTTTCCAAGGCATGGGTGAAACTAGCTTCCTGCTTGCTTGCTTTCCTTTCCCCTCTCCTTTCCCCCTTCTTGGAGGGGAGGAAGGGAATGCAGGGAGGATGGAGAAGAAGAGCAAACCCTTCTGGAATTTCATGATCCCAAAGACTTCTGTACCACCTTTCCAACATAAATGACTTAAAATATTCCCATGCCAAATATTCCAGTAGAACTAGGTTCCAGACCTCTTTTTATTACAGCATGTGTATCTTTAAGGAAAAGAAAACTCAATATTCATTTCAAGAGATAAACAAGACACGTCAGAGTTGAAACAAACCCCTTGTCACTGATCTAAAAATGCTAGCTTTAGGCTCAGAATACTATCACCTCATTTCTGCAACCTCAAGAGTGAACTGCAGAGAGTCACTTCTTTGTGTATTTAAAAAAGAAATTACTTTTTCAGACAGGTCTCATCAACTCCTCCACACTAAAATCAGACAATAACTGGCTAACAGGCTGTGTGACGTGGCTTGCAAGGTCTACACTGCATTCTAAGAAGCCCACTCACCCTGGCTCTCGATTTGTTTCATTCTATAACTGACAGCTGAGGGTGGCAAGCAGCTGGGAACGTCTGGAAGGAGGCTCTGAGTTGCAACTTGGGGGAAAGGTGGCTCCCTTATTCTTCAAATCTTGGCAATACTGCTCATCTGGGCCAAACGCTGTGCTCTGAGAGGGCAGGTGAGGGGTGTTGAGGGTGGAGGCTGGTTCCCATTTTGGCAGCATTTGCGTGAGCCCTGCCTCTGATACAAAGGGAATCGAGGGGGAGTCACAGGCTGCTGCCCCAAGTGGCATTTTAGGATCATGCTTAGCCCGAAGCAGAGCTCTCTGCTCTTTGCAGTCGGTGAAACAAGCAGGAAGCGCTCTAGCTCTACAAAGAGAACACAGGCACATCATCGCTGGCCTGTGTGTCCTGCACGCCACACACAGCAATCACACACTCCACGACCTGCCTAACTTACAATGCTTAGTGACTGTTTCATGAAGCATCTACCAGGTCCCCGGCTGCAGACATGGAGTAAATGTGACAGACAGTACCTGAAGTCAACTAGAAGGTTAACTCCCTGTGAGCAGCCAGCCCCTCGTCCTGCTCACTGATGTACTCAGGGCCTCGCACCGCGCCTGATGCTTGCGGGCCCTCGCTGAATGCTGGGTGGGTGAGACAGACCCGTGTCTGCTGTGCCGGGACTCACAGTCCCAGAGTGAAACAACTTGCCATGAAGAGGACAAAGATGGGTGTCAGGACCCCAGGTCCTGGTTCTGACTCCAGTCTTAGGGCATCTCTGGTTCTTTGGGGCTGGAGTTACAAAGAGCACATTTGACATAATCCTCCCTGTATGTTTCCAGTTGTAATACACTCCCATCCGACATCCAACAATGAATCTGATAGGGCTCTTCCAGGTGAGCAGCGTTATAAAATGTAGCTGAGATAATGCTGACAAGAAGATAAATCTGCACTCCTTGAGAATTTAACCTCTAGCAGTATAGACAGCAGAATATTACGTAGACAAACTAAACATCAACACATAGAATCCCCAATTCTAAGAATGTATGCATGGGAAGGGTTGAGAATATGGGGTGTGACCCAGGGTCAATGCTTGAGCTGTGATTTAGGAGGCAAGGGGGTGGTACGAAAGACATATGGTATCCACTTACCAGCCGGAATACCCCAGAAGTCCACACTGCCCGCAGACATCAACCTCAAAGGCATCACTTGAAATCATTAGTCTCTCTAGTAAAAGCATACTGGCTCCGTAACCTATTAAACAGTCACGTTCCATTTCTCCAAGACGCAAACCACCATCACGAGATCGACCTTCAGTAGGTTGCCTTTGAAACAAGTTAGATGAGTGTGTTATTGTTACATTAAACAAACAAGCGGCAGCATCACACGCTGGCTGGAAACACAGGGCTCACCTGAACTCAAGCCCTTTATTAGACGCTGGCCTTGAGCAGCCGCTCGGCCGCTCGGCCTCATCTGTGGAACGTATGGAGGCAGGCCTACCCCAAAGAGCCCGGAAGGAGGGACGGCCGCAGTACTGAGGCATTATAAAGAGTGATAAGACATTAATACATCACTGTCTCAGACAGCAAGGCAAGCGTTGCTGTTGCCATCATTATTCTCAGTATGGGAGCAGTCTCAACACAGGGAAAAAGGTCTTTTGAGTATTTTCAGAGATGTGTCGGTTTTCTATGACTTACGAGGCAGAAAAACTAAGCAGAACAGTAGCTGTTACTAGGACTTTAGAGAGGAAATTTACTATGAAGCAAATGGACTTTTATACATCTGGGGAGGTCAGGAGTCACCTGGAAGGACAGAGCACCCGAGCCAGGCAGGAGGTACTCCAGCGGCTGGACAGCTCTATGCGTCTCACGCGTGAAAGCTCTTCATGCATGACAGCACGCCATGCCTCCTGAGGGGTCCCTGGCCTGGGAGCCACCAGTCCCCCGAGTGATGACGTCCTGCGGTTTACACACATGAGGATTCTCGAGAAAAGCTGAATAACCCAGGATCCAGAGATGTAGGTGAAGTTAGAGTAGTTTGGAACAACTCAGGCAGCCTCACCAAGAGATGGGCGACACAAGCGATTACAAACACACAAACAGAAAGAAAAAGCGAGGCCCTGACTGGCCCAGTTTGGAGTGACCTTCCCGGAGCAGGGGTGGGCGTAACTCTGCAGCTACTGCCCATCTTCCAAAGAGTGGAGAAGGCAACAGGGTTCACACACGCTGAAATATGTTGTTGTTGAAAGTTACAAAGGGAAATCACGTTAAGTTTAGATGATTTGTTGGAAGGAAATCTGCATATGAAGAACCCACTGATAGCCTAGACGACATGCTGCAGTGGAGACTTCATAACTGAGGCATGCAAACAGGCGTGGGGCCCCCAGGGTCGGGGTCCCTTCACCTGGGGTCACTGGGTAGAGTGGAGGTGGTCAGAGCTCCAGCTTCAGATTTTAAAGAACAGAGGGACCTGACTACAGACAAACAGGCTCCAGACGGTCCTCATCTGGGATATACAAGAGTATTACTGAAGTAGTAACTTTTTACATAACAAAGTAAAAAAAGGGAAATAACTGTCTTGACATTTATGTGCCTCTGAAATAGTTTTTGGATGATGTAACTTAAATGGAAGTCCTGGAGGGGGCAGTGTGCAGAGCAGAGACACACCTTAGCTCAGGAAGTCTCAGTGCCCAGACTGCTGAGAATCTCAACCCCCCCTTCCTCTTCTTACCAGCACAAGCCTATCTCGTCTGAGCAAGCAACAGACGTGACTCGCGCAGCTTTAAATGCCCAAGAGATCAAGTCACCTATACCCTGTCTTGGTTTAAAAAGCACAGCAACTTCCACCTCCCCCAGGAACTGCCACAGCCAAGCAGCACCCAGCGGAGGGGGGACAGACAGAGCACCTCCCAGGGGCCGATCGCGTGACCTTCCCCAGCACCCTGTGGAGTCGGTAGCGCTGTCCCCACGTTACGGATGGTAGGATGAGGCTGAGCAACGAGATGTCCTGTCCTCACACGGCAGAGCCGTGTGGCGGGATGAGTCCACACCCTTGCCCACCTGGCTCCCAGGCTGACACTCTCCCCTGGCTCAAGGCCCTCACCATGGACACAGGGTTATTCCTTCTCTGGAGGGGCTGCCCGACACAATGCAGACCACCTACGAACATTCTTGGCCTCCACCCACTAGATGCCAGCAGCTCTTGCCTCCCCGCCTCGCCCCCAAGGTGTAGCGACACCTCAGACATTGCCAGGTGATGCCTGGAGGCACAACCGCCCGGCTGAGAGCCTCTGTTCTTCATGCCGCTCCTCCACTGGACAATGGTGGGCTGGGAACACGGGGAGCAGTTATTTCTAACCCCCTGTGTGAGGAGGCCGCACTGGTGAATGGGGTGCACATCCTCACATCCCAGAGCTTATGCCAACGAGCAAGCAGGTGCCTCACAGTCCAATAAGAAGTGACCGCTGTGGTCTGGGCTGTCAAAGAACGTCAGCATCTATTCCTGTGCACCGGGGGCATGCAGGTGTACCGACATGGGCGTCGGCAGGTCAGGCCACCTGCATGCTTGCACGTGACCCTTTCTGCAAGGACCACCTCTGCACCTGGCCCACAGTCAGTGTCTGGGGGCTACTGGCAAGACCAGCAGTGCTTGCTGTCATGCTTATGAAATGACCTTTAATCTGTTGCTATTTCTTCATTGACTCAGACATCCGTGATTGCTGCTCATGCTCAATTTTGACACTTCAGGGAAACAGAAACTCAGCTGAGTCTGCGCACTGCCTGGCCGCGCTGTGAGCACGCCTCTCCTACCTGGTCAGAACGGCTCGGGGCCCCCGGGCCCGGGCGTGCATCTTATCCAGCACCATGTGCTTCAGCTTCTGGTAGTACACAGGGCCGAAGTAGATGTAGGCTTCCAAGGGCTCCCTGGAAGGAAGAGGGGGGTGCCGGGTTAAAAAATGGAGTCTGAACCACAGGCAGTCTTCTCTGGGCCTCAGCCTGGCGGGCTCACTCATCTCTTAACAGTAAGTGACAAGGACTCAGAAAGGCAAAATCTGCAAACTGAAAAGTACAGTGGATATGGAAGGCTACACTGCTTACGTGATCAGAGTTCATAAGCCGGATGAAAACCAGTGCCCAGGGCTGTCCTTCCTTCACGCGACCGGCCTGCTCGGATGACCAGCCTTTCATGCCGGACGACCACAGACAGCCAGGCGGTCTCCCGCTACACTCAGCCCTCAGGAGCTGTTCTTCCTACAGCAAGCGGGGGGTTCCCTCTAAAATGTCGATCACCGCCGGTCACTGACCGCTCTGGGTTCCCAGTGGTTTGCCATCCCGCCCCGCATCTGTATCGTTTTAATTCTGTATCATGGCCGTAAGATCTCTTATAATCTGCTCCCTGCCCACCTCTCACTCCGTTCCTCTTCTGTATCTCTACCCCTCATTTTACTCCTGCAACAGTGGTCTCCTCATTGCCCCCCAAAGGCAGCAAGTGGATGCCTGCCTGGGGCCTGGGCACTGTAGCTGTGTGCAACATCCTTCCACCATGTGCTCAGCGCTGACTACTCCTGCTGAGACTCAAGTGCAGGGCTCTCCTACCACCCTGGCTGGTCGTGAACACAGTACCCTTGGGCCGCAGCAGGAGGGGAGAGTGGACAAGTAAAGGCAGCAAATGCGTGGCAGAGAGGCATGCTTGGCCCCGCCTGCCATGCCTCCCACGCTCCAGAGGCGCTCGCAGCCAGCAAGCCACCGTCCCTGCTCGGGCACGACACGGCTGGATTCCCGAGGTCGCACAGGCCGCGTGACAGGCAGGTGACCCTGTGCTTGTTGCAGCTGTCATGTAATAACTACGTCATCTCTTTATCTCAGCTTTCTTAGCTGTGTAACAACCTGGTCAGACCAAGGTTCTGCCCAGCTCTGATGTGGAATGATTCTGTTCCTCCACAGCATGGTGGCAGATGTTAGAATTTATGGGACTTGGTCACCTAATGTCATTCCATCCTCAAGGGAATCAAGCCAGATGTAAGTTTTCCTCCCAGGTCTGCTCAAGAATGGAGGGATGGAGGCTGCTGGGTGAATGTGTTTGCAAGCCCTTGGTGGAGCTTTTAGCTAAGGAGCTACGGTGGTGCCTCTCAGAGTCTTGCAAAGAAACAGCACAGGCTGGGGGTCTCGGGAAGGTGGTGTAGACACAGCCCATCACTGTAGGTAGAGGCAAAGCATGAGTCAACCAAATCTTTCTGCAAGACTATGTTCAGGAAGACCCACCAAATTGACTCATCTTCCATCTGGGTGGAGAAGCAAAAACCAAGATGATCAGCTTAGCCATGGCAACATGTTATTTGAAACGGACCTCAGCTATTTTATGGGATTATTTTTTAAAAAGCACATTACTCTTTTTCTGTCATGTAATTTTCTACAACATCTCAAGGATGTTGACCTTCACTTTGTACATGTACATGTATTTGTACATGTATTTATTTGTTTTATTTTCTTCATTCTATAAAGAATTATGGAGCACCTAAGGAAATCCATATAATTGCAGTCTGGATAGGCATCTTAGAAAGCTGTCAATATTTTAAACAGATACAGATTTTCACCCTTTTAATCACATCTGGATATTCTATCTGCAGCGTTAAAACCAAGCTCCTTTGTGTTCTCACACATGAATCCATGCTGAGCTTCACTTGTGTTCAAGTGTTTAAAACCTCAGAAGAACAACGTAAACACTCCGCCCCAGCATTTTACCTGCTGTAAAAGAGACAACAATCTTCAGTCAGGGACCTGACTTCAAGCCTTGCAAGTGTGAATCACGTGCGAACACCTAGTCATCGTGGCCGTTTTTACCAGGGAGCCTGTGCTCTGCCTGTCCCTCCCCCAGCCACACCTCTCGCAGTTCCTGCAACTTACCAAGACCTTTTCCCTCAGGTGCTCAACATGCTTTCCCGCTGCACACCAGGTTTTAGGGGCAGCTCTCCCCATTGTCCATATCTCAGCAGAACACCCACTGCCTCACAGGGGTCCTCTCATTTATCCCTGGCCTTCATTTTGGTGCAAGCTACTTGTACATGTATTTATTTGTTTTATTTTCTTCATTCTATAAAGAATTACGGAGCACCTGCCGCGTGTTAGGCCCTGGGTAGAACAGTACACAAAACAGACCAGCTCTGCTTGCATGGAGGCTGTGTGCTAGCTGGAGACACACAACAAAGTCAGAGTATCATTGTATCACACACTTGGTCATGATGAGTTATATGAGAAAAATAAAGCAGGAAAGGGGAAACAGTGAGTTAAAATTCTGAATTAAGTAATCCTGGCCACCCTGCTTAAAGGCCACCTTTGGACTATTATTTGTTAGTGTCAAGTAACCAATCTTAGCTTCTCCACAGGTGAGGGGCCATGCGTATTTTGCTCACCGTTCTGCATTCAGCACCTAGCACACAGCAGGTGTCCCGGGGCTCTAGGGGTGTAAAGCCTCGGGCTGTCAGAGCACTAATTACGTGATACCATCATATTAACGCAGAGAACATTCCACGGTCAGGGAAAGCCTTTGCACTGTAATAATAGATGTGCTCCTTAAAAGTGGTATAGAAATCCTATTTTGATTCATTAGATCTTTTCTAATTTTTAAATGATGTCCTCACCAGTACCAACAAAGCTCCTCAGCTTGCCAGTTGTCTAAGTCTGAACTTCCTCCTTGTCTTCCCTACTCCCACCTTCGTTTTACTGAGACTTAACTGACACAGAACATTGTGCAGGCTACGGTGTGTGTCGTGCAGATTTGGTACAATTACACACTGCAAAATGCTTACCACTGTCACCGTAGCCGACACCAACAACTTCCAAGATTCCTTAAGGGAGTGAAGCTGTGGATCTTAAGGGCTCTTACCTCGTATTCTGCAAAATCACGCCCCTTAGTCACACACTTACCCTGTGATGCCAGATGTAACATAGTCTTTGCCCAAGTAGTTATAGCCGTGACGAACGAGGTCTTCGCACACGTCCTTCACTTTGCTGCCTCCGAAGGCAGTGCCATAGTGGAACCTCCCGTCCAGCACGCCGGCCTTCCCAGCCAGCAGCTCGATCAACTTCCCCACCTGTGGGACGAGACCAGCTTGAGTGAGCACCTTCCTGTGGCAAAGGAGCTGTGTGTCTGTTAGCTTGGGCCTATCTCCCCAAAGGATTTTGCCACAACCACTACTAGTAACGGGAATGGGTGACCGGCAGCTCTCTCCGTTGACCGTCTCTTGCTGACACACCGCTGAAAAAGCTGGTCAAGTGTGTCTGAGTTTATGCTTCCCCACACCCCTGTGAAGCAGAAACTGTTCCTCATGTCACAGTCCAGGACGCTGAAGTCTGGAGAACTGCTCGGTGGTGGAGGGAGGGGGTTCGCTTCGGGGCAGGTTTCCGCCGAGGCTAAGTAAGCTCATCCCTCAGCAGAGCTGCTCCACACCCCTCTGTAAAGAGCAGCCTAGAACTGCCAGGGTTCGGAACCCGTGTCCTTGGCAAAGGGTCAAAGGACCCTCTCAAAGAATCACTCATTACACACCAGCTACCTGCATTTGCATGAAAAGTGGCATCATTGGGGCCCTCCCTGGTGGCCGAGGGGTTAAGTCTCAGCACTGTCACTTCTCCGGCTTGAGTTCCATCCCTGGCCAAGGAGCTGACCCACATAGCGCAGCAGACCTCTCCTGTCCCGTCCGCTGCTCCCCTCAGCAGTGCATCTCAATCCATCTGCCTGTTCTACTCCCCACTCTGACGAACCCTCTCACAACCTGCACCTCTGGCCTACACCCCAGCTCTTCTACACAAAAATAAACAAAGTCTTAAATTAAAAAAAAAAAAAAATGCGGTGTCTTTGTAAAATCTCAGGGTAAGGGCCCTCTCTGGTGGAGCAGCGGGTTAAAGCACAGCACTGAGAATCTAAAACCGCTTCCGCATGAGTTCGATCCCCGCCTGCCCCAGAGGTGACCACACGGCGCGGCAGACCTCTCCTGACCCGCCCGCTGCTCCCCTCAGCAGTCGATCTGCCCGTTCTGCTCCCCACTCTGTCTCTGGTGAAGCCTCTCACCGCCCCTGAGCCTCTGGCCTGTACCCCAGTTCTGTATGCATAAATAAATAAATCTTTAAAAAAAAAAATTCTCAGGGTAAACTGACCGTCATTCTTGATGGGAAGCCATGTGGGTTCATGATGATGTCCGGGCAGATGCCAGAATCACAGAACGGCATGTCTTCCTGAGGGACGATGAGGCCACAAACACCTGGGGAGACGTTCACACCATGAGAAGCAGACTGGCAGGTAGAAGGCCTGCATGGCTTCCTCCCCTCTGCTGTTCCCACTGTGCTAAAACCTTACCCATGGTCTCTACCAAGAGTGAAAAAAGCAATTCCCAACAATCCTGCTGGCAGTTAAAAAATACTCATCTTTGGGCCCTCCCGAGTGGCCCAGTTAAATAAAGCACAGCACTAAGAAGCTAAAGCCACTTCCGCGTGAGTTCGATCCCCAGCCCCAGCGGTGACCCACATGGCCCGGCAGACCTCTCCTGACCCGCCCGCTGCTCCCCTCAGCAGTGTACTTCGTCAGTCGGCCTGTTCTGCTCCCCACTCTGTCTCTGCACCTCTGGCCTGTACCCCAGTTCTGTATGCATAAATAAATTAAAAAAACAAAAACAGTCATCTTTGCAGAGACACAGCGGCCTGTGGACTAGCAGCTGCCATGACCCAGTAGTGCTGCCAGGCTGTCTGCATAGTCTCTCCTGTCACGAAGAGCCATCAGCAGTGACTTCACAGGCTGCGGGCCTGTCAACAGCCTGAAACTTCGAGTCAGCGTCAATTCTGCAACTAGCTTTTGAATGTCCTACACGCTAGACCCAAATCACAATGGTCCAATCCCTTTGATACCAAACACAGAAATGACTGAGCCATGACTGAGACTGAACCTGAGCCAGTCATTTAAACTGTGGTTTGAAAACATGGTGGCGAGAAGCACCCTGTGTGGCTGATGGGCTCCGGGGTCCACCTTCTGCCTCACAGTGCTGCCTGGGTTGGCTGACTTCTGCCAGGACTTCCCTTGGCTGAGCCTAAACTTCTAGAGGGAATTTTAGTTCCCATAGCTTATAACACAATAGAAAAGTGATCTCTGACTGAAGATGTAGAAGTTGTGCAAGAGATTTCAATGCCAAGTCATTCTTGGAGAAAAAGGTTAGGATTAGAAATGGGAATCTAAGAATGAAAACAATAAAACAAAAACCTACCGACTCTGCATGCTGCTGACAGTCCCATAAATTAACTGCATTTATTACCACCTTGTGCCTATTCTAACTTCCAGGGGAATTTGATGCTGAAACAGTTTTTAATTCCTCTTATTTCTTTTTCTTAGGAGGAGGAGGAGGGAGAGAGTTTAATTGTCAACCACAGCTTCAGAATTTAGAATTAGAAGACTAGTTTATAAATGGCACTGGACTAAGGGAAAAAGTCTTTATATTTCGTGATAAAATTCCTTCCTCATGGTGTAAAAAGCCATGCACTATCTGTACCTATTGAAAAAGCAACTTTTCTCAAAGAAATTCTTCGTTCTTGTTTGATTTCTACTTAAATACCCAAGGTACCTTAAAATTAAAATTTCTGTGATGGTGCCAAGACTGAAGTCTAAAGAGAAAGAAAGCCCTTTGCCTATTTCTCATTGCTTACTGATACTCCGATTTCTAGTGGCTGCCAAAACATGATCAGGTTTATGGAGCTGAGTTCTCTTTTTATAACACAAGAGAAACAACATTTTATTATAAAGAACGCATGTATTCTTATGGGAGGAACAGAAACAATCATTCATCACTTTATTTCAAAATCAACCATGTAGTTGAATTTAAACCAAGCAATGTGTACAACCCCTTTTTTCTTCCCTCCAAAAGTCTATCTTGTCCACACTGAAATTATCTAACAAGGCAGTAGAGCCACTGGGAAATCTACTTGGAAAGAGCTCAACTTGTAAATCAGGCGCACCCACACCAGCACTGCTCTGTGGTGAATAAAATGTTAAAAATGCCAGTTTCATGGCACATGGATGATCTGGTGAGGGGAAGCCCACGGGGATTACAACTGAGATGGATAAATGCACAGAGTGATGTAAAAATACACTATTATATTGTTTTTTTTTTTAAAAAAAACAAACCAAAACCAAAAAAGTAAAAAGCCAAAAAAAAAAAAAAAAAGCCAGTTTCTAAAGAAGACGGTCCTGGACTGGCTCGGGTGAGACTGGGACTCTGGCTGTCGAGGAGCCGAGGAGCCGGGAAGGTTTGGCTACATCCCTTAAAAACAAACGGGGGCTTTCAGCAGCAGTGGGAGGGGGATGCTCCTGTCCACCCCCAACAAGAGCAGGCGGAGCGGGGAGCAGGACTTACAGAACCACCAGGAAAGGCTGGCATCCTGGCGCAGGGGGAGCAGGAGGGGAGAGATGATTTGCATTTTGCACGTTCAGCTTTAGTCCATAACTTTAATCAAGCAAATTTAACTTTTTTATTATTGAAATGAAAGCCCCTGGAATCTGAATTGCTAAGAACTCCCCATGAAATCTGATTAATATTTACTATCAAGATCCCTTTGGGGGAAGTTATTTTGCTATCAGCCCTTTTCTGCCCGAGTTCCGAGTTTAAGCATTTTTATGGGTGACTTTTGCATGTTTCCCCCCATTCCGGCACAGGAACTGCTGTGGTCACATCTGAAGCAAGGGCACCTGTAAGCCAAAAATTAAATCTTAGCTAACTTAAAATTACTTCGGGCTCTGAAAACCCTTTTATATGCCAAGATGGTTCCCATAGCAGACAGCCCTGTGTTGTTTGTTTTGTGTGAAAGTGAATGATAAAAGATCCATGAAATCGACACAGAAAGCCAGAACAGCAGAAAGAACTGAGGGCTCTCCATCATTGCGGCTTCTACCCTCTGCTGACTCGCGGGACAATGGAGGCTACACAGCCCGCTGCAGATCTAACACAGCTGTGCATTTCATTAGATGAAGAGCACTAGTGACACAAGTAAATAATTAACTTATTCTGGTCCGCTGACTGTGCTTATGAGACCAGTCATAGCTGACAGATTTTAATACAAGTTAACACAAAGACACCATAATGAGCTTAGAAGTTAAAACAAAATATTTAGACAGAATTTGATGATCTCAAATCTCAAATGAGACGGATGATTTTTAACAGTTCGGATTTTTCTGCATTCATTAGTGGGGAGAAGAGAGTTCTCAATCTTTGAGCAGACTTTTCTTGTTTTAAAAAGGTGTTTCTCTGCTTCAGAGGGCTTCAACTCCTTCATTACAGCAGGAAGGTTTCTGTCCTTATTTGCAAATGAAAAAGTAAACCGGTGTTTCCCCCAAAGGACAAAGGCACAACAATTTCACCCAGTAGTTTAAATTCTTAAAAGTTACAGCCGCTTTCCTTGAAGACTGGTTTAAAAATGTAAATGATATGCAGTATGCTTCAGTGTGTTGACACTCCCCTGGACCCTTGAAAGGAGGATGGACTACAAATAAGCCATATCTAATGGAAGCTGTTGTGAAACAATTACTGATTCACACCTTAAATGCTTACACAGCATTTCAGATTTTAAAATAAAATTTCAGCCTCTGGCTCATGCTGCTGCCTCAACCCCATTGTATACAGCACAGCCTCCTGGCAGTGCAATGCAAATACACCAGTTCCACAGGCCCAGGGACACTTCATGCACTCAGGGCGACCACCCATCCGCCAACAAGGGAACTACAGGACTCAGAACAAGTGAAGACAGGTAATACGGAAAAACCAGCTCTCAGCCGGTCAGAGTCCTGCAGATAAAGGCTATGCCGTGGACACAGTAGTAGTCCATAAGATGTCATTCCCTCACATTCAATCTTGATTTCAAATGGTAAAGGCAAAGGAAGTCCAAAGAAACCAGAGGTCTGGTGTCAGCACACTCACGAAGGCAAGTCTGGGGACCACTGTCTCACTTCTGTGCGCCACCCCCACCTGGAGGCTCTACACCAATTTGTTCTTGCTATCTCTGTGGCCTTCCACAACAGATAAATCATTTTAAGAATAGCCCTACGGAGAAAAAGTTCAGCTAACCTGATGAAACATTTCGTTTTCTTAGACAGTCCTGCTAATGACAAACAGCAACTGACTTGGTGAAGTCACTTTTGGTCTTTTTGAAAAATTCGTTTTGGTATAATGGATCTACCTCAATGCAAAAGACCCAAAAAAATAAGAATTCGAGAGGCAATGAAAACAGAAGCATTCTGGTGCCTTATCAAGGCAAGCAAGCAAGGAGCCACATCATAGGAGACATCTGTAACATCTTTGATTCGAGAGCTGTTTTTGATGGGACTTCAGTGTATTGAGAACTGACTAGCAAAGGCTTTGCATCTGTTGACAGCCAGGCTGTTTCAACATCATGCTGCTTCACTTTGAGCACTTTGCCTTCTCTGCATGGCCACTCTTGGACTAATTTACCACTCTGAGGCTGACTGTATTGCTACTCATCCTTTTCCGAGTGAGGAAACATTTCTCAACCACAGCACAAGCTGCATGGCAAGCACTGTGATGAGGTGGGGATACGGAGAGACTCGGGGACACAACTCCACTTGAGGGGTGTCCTGTGCAGGCTAGCCCGAGTACTGACAACTCTTACACAAGTGAGCTCGCTATGTTCTGGTGCTCTCAGTGAGGCACCACGGATCAGGTAGTATGTTCTGCTGAAATGCCGCCATGCAACCTATGTAGACGGCCTTGACTTTGTTCAGGCACTTAACTGTGGGGGCAGGGTTGTTCACTCTGCAGGGTTTAACATCCTGTGCTAACGAAGCCAAGGGTGAAACGATACTGTGATTTCTTTCTGCCAGTCACAGTGCAAGAGAGGGTGGTGTTCAGTAAAGGCCAGAGCACTCCCTGGCGCCTGTGATTAACAAGGTTCCTGAATGGGAAGTGGGGTGCCAGCGTGAAGGGACCCTCAGACCCACATGAGGCAGGATAGCAAGGCCTCAGGGGCTGGACCTTAATTTGACTCTGCTGTGTGACTCAGTGCTTTGCCTCAGGAGAAAGCACTGTCGTCTGGTGAGCCTTGATTGTTTGTTCTTGGTAATGGGAATAATTAGCACTTATCTCAGGAGGAAATTGTGTTAGAAGAACAGATGAGCGAAAGCGTGAGAGGTACTTCATGGTCCACAGAGAAAGGGTAGCATCTAAATACAAGGAATTATGATTATCTAAGAAACCTAATTACTCTCAGC